ACACACACACACACACACACACACACACACACACACACACACACACACACACACACACACACACACACACACACACACACACACATCCAGCATACTCACTCTGGTACTTTAGCCATCTCATTGTTTGGACAGAAACTATGTCTCCTCTCTTGGACCCCATTCATATCCTCCCAGTAAGAGCCTGCTTAGAGTGTGTGTGAGAGTGTGTTTGTACTTGTGCCCAGAATGAGTCCTGGAACCGAGCAGATAACACCCATCCCCTGTTACAAGGGCCAAAGAAGAGCGAGGAGAAAGAGACCACCGCAGGTCCACAATGGGCCAAATGAACATGTGGCTGCCAGGGTGCAGCGAGACAGACAAAGGTGGCAGCGCCGTCCGTACTAATGCATCAGACAGATTAATTAGCTGCTACCGTGCACATCTGGTGGATTCAGTGGGCTGGCTTCTCAGAAATGCATTACCTATCAGCTGTCGGTGAATAACACTCCGTCAAGCTTCAAATAAAGTCATTTTATAAATCCGGATATGAATTTGATGCTCCAGACCCCAGAGTAGATCTAAAACTCGTCACTCTACTGTCAAACATAATGCAGAGGGGTTGTAACAAAATAGCCAACTGCTCAGGTCCACATGCCTTCCATTTCTTCCTGTTGGGCATCTCATTTCCTTCTTTCCTCAATGTTATATTTGGACAAGAGAAAGACACTTGAGCTGGAGTGCGGATGTACACATCGATGTTTTCTTAATGTGTTCCTCTTTGTTCTTTTCTACAGGACTGCACTGTCTATGAGACAGAGAATAAAATTCTTCACGTGGTAAGTTTTTCTTATAATATCAGCGACCATTCAAAGTTGTCGGTCAGTTGTTGGGGTCAACAATGAACTTTCATGCTCAACTAGCTTTACTTCATTGTTGCACTGTCACACATGTGGTTACAGCACACATGAAACTGCAGCGCGTGGTAATCCGCATATTTCCAAGCAGCTGGCTCATTGCACAAACCTGCCATCTAGTATTTGCAAGAACAGAATTTCACATCTACCGGCAGACTTCTGCACCGGTTTTGAGAAATAAAAGCATTTAGAGAAAATCTGTGTGTGAAACAGAAAAAAAAGTATTAGCTAAACTGGTGCATTTGAGTGCGCTTCAGTTAGACGTTTGTGTTTGTGTGTGGGCGTGTGTGGGCATGTGTGTGCGTGCACTTCAGCATACTGTTTGTTTTTGGTCGAGTGTGTGGCACAAATTTGTGCATGTTAAAGTGCAAATGAGCCCGAGGCCTTCTGAAAGCTTCAGTATGTGTGTGTGTGTTGTGTGTCCATGCGCGCAAATGTGTGCATCCATGACGGAGAACTGTCTGCATCCACGTGTGAAACGGACTGAGCAGCCAGTGTCTGATTTGGGTTGACAGTTGGTTTAGGACACTTCCTGCTGCCATTCAAGGTCAGGTGGAGGAAACCAAATGAAATGTTAGCAGGGGGAGCTCACAGAAAAAACTGTTGACGCATCTTTTGGCAAAGAAAACGCTCAAGGAATGCATATTTTTGCACATGCACATTAGATACTCTGTAATCCATAAGCTCTTTGGTTGAGCTGTCATTTACCTCTGCTGTTACAGCCCCAATAATGACACAGGACAATGACATCAGGCAAATTCAAATATTTAAAGGGCTCCATTGCACACGCAGTTACATGCTCACAGCCATCAGTGCCCGACAAAGGGCCGCACATGATTAAGTCTGTTATGTGCGGGAGGTTTATGTGTGAAAGAGGGAAACAGCATGAAGAGCGAGAGAGAGGAGGAGCTGTTTGTTTTTAGATCCAGCTTCCTCGCAGGCTCTTATTTACTGTGAGTTTTCCACAAAGATGAAGTGAAGGTGAAGTAAACCATGCAGGCACACACAACAAACACAAATATCCAATCTTATCCCCTGTTTTTGAAACAGAATGGCACTTATATTTGGACTTAGACAAGCAGACTTGTCCCCAAAAAAGTTTTTCTATTGCACTGCTAGGTAAAAAAAATAGGTTAGTTCTAGCCAATGTGTTATGTTAAACTGAATTAGAGGGAAGAAAACAGCATATTTCTAACATTTGAATCCTAGTGACCCCTGAAATTAAAGATTATTTACTTCAAAATAACAGCAGCCAGATGTGATTCAGTATAGATGGTAACTTGCTACATTAAAGTGCGTTTCTACTCTACTAGAGCACTCAAAGCACTTTATAAAAAACAGACTATTTACTATTTATCTCCGATTGTTTAGATTTGACCTCCAGGTATAGCAGGTGGATATAAGTAGCATCTTCTCCACCACATAACCAGCAACAAGCTGGTTTATGTCTGTTTGTTACAGCTTCTACTAAAAGCTACCTGTTTGTCAGATTCAGCAATGATGTTTGCCTCTTCAGCCTCACCCTTCTTCAGCAAGGTGCACTTAACTCACAGGTGGTTCTTCAAATTTTGAAGTAGAGCATGTTAGCGGCTGACAGCAGCTTACAGACTTATCATCACCCCAAGCAAGACTCTTTTTTTTTTCTCTTTTTTTGTCTTTTGACGCAACAATGGAGACAGTAACAGATTGACTGGAAACATCATGTTGCTCATTTCAATGCAAATGTAATCTGAGTACTGCTGCTTTGTAACATGTTACAGACAACATTGCACAAAGCTTCAAAAAAACAAGTAAAGCAATAAAAAAAATAAGTAAATTAAGTAAGCGTTTAGTAATTTGATCATATTTATAACTGAAGATTTAGACTGGGCTCTCTGATAGAAAACGAGTTAAACACACCCGTGAGTAACACTGCTTGATTAATTACATTTCCAGCTGGCTCTTTTTCATCCAGAGCTCCAAAACAGTGGAGCAAATGTAAACATACCATAACTGTAGGACACTGCGATACTATAGCCTATCGTAACAATCTCTATAAATATATGATTATTCTAAAAGGAAATGCTTTAAAGGGAGTGATTCTTCAAATTCTGCTCTCATTTCGGTCTGAAGTCTTACTTACAATGCAGTCATTTCACATAACTGGGTTTACAGTTTCACTCAAGTATTCTACTGTATGCAGTTTGATTCAGACAGACATACAGTATCTAAGAGTCTCCAGTGTATAGCCAGCATGGGGATTACAGACTGTTTACTGTAGTGATAGTTGTACCTATCTCAGCTTCTGCTCAATAATGCAAAACTCACTGCTACTCTGTTCTCTTTTAGACCACGGCCTGCAGCAATCAGATGGACAAGGATAGTGTGCATGCGTGTGTGTGTGTGTGTGTGTGTGTGTGTGTGTGTGTGTGTGTGTG